TATGAGTCAGCTGTCCTGTCATAGGGACCAAACAGTGGACACCCAAACGTTAAAGGAGAGGAGCATTTGGCTTACGGTTTCAGGGGTTTTAGTCCATGGTAAGCCAGCTCCAAGGCAGGAAGATCATAGCAGAAAGGCCTGTGGAATAAAACTATTTAGTGCATGGTGGTAGGGAAGCAGGGCAGGGGAACAGAGCCAGAGAAAGGTTCAGGGACCAGATAGAGTATCCAAGGCCATGGCCTACAACACACCGGACACTCCTTAGGGTGTGCTTTACTAATCTCCCAAGTCAACTAAGTTGGCAGTGGAGCTTAACTGTCACACCAATTTTCATGTCACCTCCAGAGCCTTGGGTTCTTACTCTGCAGTGAACCTCAGGAGAATGTAAAAAATGTACCTGCTGGCCAGTGGTCTGGGTTGTAATCCATAATGAAATGCAACCTTCTGTGGCCCAAGCACAAAGGCAGACTGGGTACTGCATGATGATTCCTTGGATTTTCCAGAAGTTTGGTTCCAAGCCTCAGGCTGCTGCAGAACTGACCTATTGTTTACCAGCCATGGTGAGGAAATGGAGACCCCTGGGCTGAAGAGTGGGATCCCCATAGCGACATCCACATTCCTTTCTGGCTCCTGATGAATCTAGGTTACCTTGTGCAACAAGGTGCTGGATTGACAGCCGGGAAATTCTGGCTGTGATGGAGAGAAAATAGCCAGGGCTCAGAGGGAGACCCGAATCTCAGGCCCTGCAGACACACAGGGCCATGGCAGAACCCCAGCGCGTGCCACCATCTGATAAGACCCAGGGCACACGTGGGAACCGCCAGAGGAGGAGGGACAACTGATCCCCACTGTGAACTCCAAGGAAACACTTAGGCTTTGTCCAGATTAGGATCTGAATGGTAGCTGCAGTCCTTCCAGAAGCACAAGTGCTGCTGGGCACCCGCAGAGGAAATGCTGGTGTTGACCTTCAGGATGGGAGCCCAGCTTCTGCCCCACCCACCTCCACTTACACTTGAAAACCTGGCGTTAAAGCAAAAGGCCCACCAGAGGACGAATGGAAAGTGATGGCCAGCGAGGTTTGATTGATATAATCTTGGCCCAAGTTCTGAGTCGGGGTGCTCGGCACATACGCTGTCTGGTCCAGAGAGCTGGGCTAGGGCTATAGTGACAGATGAGGGAGCATTTGCAGACAGAGGCGCTCAGCCTGGAGGGTCAGGCTGTGTGTGGAGTCAGCATGGAAGGGTGGCCTGGTGCTCCTGCTACCTGCATCGCCCTTCGATGGGATAATAAACACCCACCTCGAGGCTGAGGATCTGTAAACTCTCAACTCAGAGGCTCATTTTAACAAATATGTTTATTGTCAATGCACACAACAGATTTCGTTAAAAATGTGTGGACATTTGTCTAAAGAGCCAAGTTAGCACTGAATTCCTAACTACTAATTAACATGAGAAATATGTATTATAAACTCCTTCCCAAATATGGAAGTGGGGCACATTTAAAACCCTGCTCATACCCTGAGGAACATTTTATACACAAGCACTAGAAAGACAGCTGTCCATTAATATTGAAATAAGTTCAGTTCGATGTATACTAATGAGTGGGGAGCCTGTCCCCCAGAGTCAGGTAGACAGTGGATCACCAAAAACTTCTGATAAGTAATGTGTGTGCGTGGGGGGAGGGATGCGTATATGTAAATATGTGTGTGTGCATGTGTGTGTGAACATGCATTGTGTGTGTGTCTGTGCCTGCACATGCATGCACGTGTGTGTGTATTCTCCCACCGAGTCCCACATCACAAGCACGCAAGGTCATGTGCGCTGCCTGCCTTGGTTCCCAACTCTCTGATATCACATCCGTGGGCTGGGTTTCCCACTCGTGGTAAGGAAAGTCCTTAATTATTAAATGTGTGCAAAACAGTACAAACAGCACAACCTATTTATTCTCCTTCTGAATCGTGGGCATTAACTCTCAATTTCTGTCAAAGCAGTTTTGACAAAAACTTCTCTCTCAGCGTCATCTGCAAAGAATTGAAATGACGATCACCGCGGTGTTTGCTTTCCAAAATTCCCTGCTCTGTTTTCTCTTTGAAATTCAAAATTACTCATGTACCATTCTGCAAATATATACTGCCTTTCTCCACAAAGCTCTGCTAGCCAAATAGAAATGTTTCCCTTTGGGTCCAGGAAATGGTATATTATGATTAAATCAGCTGGAGCAGGCCAGTCCTGCATGTTTTATATGGCAGAGCTGTGATTTCCTAGCAGATGGCTTTGACATTCTTGTACTCAGGCAAGCTGAGGCTGCCAACCTCCGTTAGAAAGTCTTTAAGATGTTTGCTTTGGAAGAAATCGCCACACAGTGGGAAAAGAACCATATGCAATACCTTATCACTCAGGGAAAATAGTCATTAAAACACTGGATTCCATGTGGTGCTGTTTTGTGTGACAGCAATGCAGGTCCAGTGGCCACAGGCCTGATTAGGACGCTGCAAGTGTCTGTTTCTCGTTCCCCAGCTGCGCGGCTGCCCCTCGATCCCGGCCCTGCACTGGGTGCCACACGCCGTGACTCAGTACAATAACAGGAACTCGCTGCTGCTGTGACTGAGACCAGCCAGCTTGGGCCTGGGCGGCCGTTTTGATAGCCAGGGCTCCACCTCTGATTTGCTGCCTGGCTGAAGTCATCTGTAAAACAATCGTCCCCAAACAGATACTGTGTATCTTAGGAAGGTTTGTGAAGTGTTGCTGCAGGCCAAGAGTTTAACTAAGGCCCTGTGCTGTGTTAACTCTCTTCGCCCCCCGCAACCTCCAGGGTGCTGAACCCTTCTCATGTCTGCCTTGGTGGAGTTAAGGCTTTAACTCTCTCCACCCGTGGCCAAGCCAGCTCCAGGGTCACTGCTGCGGGGAGTCCTGCGGAGGGGAAGGACCAGGTTGGCCAGTCACACTCAGCCAACCTCACTGCTGTCTGCATGTGGGGCTGGTCTGTCACACCGTGTGGGACAGACAGGGCTCTGTGCAAAGCCGAGGTGCATAGGGTGAGGGCCACCGCCCAGACTGGGCTCAGGCAACCCAGCTACTAACCTGTCCACATAGGCACCACCCCTGGCCAACAGCAGGACCTGTGTCCTCAGTCCCTTTTTCTCAGCCACGTTTGTGCTTGATTTCACAATAACTTTAAAATTTTATTTAATTTTAATATTTTTACAACTAACGGGTATCATCCATCTGAAATGCAGACACGATTGTTGGTCCTGTGCTTTCACTTGTGGCCTCCACTGATTCTGACCTGTGGACAATGCCATGGAGGATGCAGGTGACAGAGGGGGCCACCCTGGGGATAGAGCTGCCCTGCACCATTCCTGGAGTCCAGCATGGAGCCCAGCTCCTCACCCTCCTATGTAGCCTCAGACCTGGTTCCCTGACCATCACCCGGTCCCCATGCAGATGTCGACTCCCCATTAAGCTCCCCTGCCCACACTGCCCGGCCTGGCCTGCACTGTGGTTTGACTTTATCCCCTGAAGCGCCATGTCTGGACCTTCAGGCTGCACTGTGGAGCGGCTGGATGCCCAGGGCTCCGTAGCGGGAACAGGTGACGTTGCAGGGCAGGCTCCTGGAAGGAAGAGGAGCTGAGTCCCTGTCCTCACACCCTCACTCTCGCCCTTCTGCCCTCAGCCACCTGTCACATAGCAGGAACACTCCCCCCACCCAAATGTGCTGTTTGACCTAGACTTCTACCTGCAGAATGGTGTGAAATAAACCTCTGCTCTGCATAAATGCCCAGCCCCAGCGCTCTGTGACCCCGGCATGGTGGGCAGCAGCACGCATCGCCCTATGCCAGCTTCCCAGCCTGACCCTGGCTACGCATGTTTGGTGCTCATGTGGAGTCCCCCTCTATGGAGAGCAGGGTCTGGACCACCATGGGCCCTTGGATGGCCACCACCACACACGGATGATCTCCAGCAGCCATACAGGATGCTGCTGTACAGGATGCTGCTGCTTCTCCAGAGCCTGGCACTCCCTGGTACACTGAGAACAGCTCCACACCAACAGCCTTGCCAGCCTCCTTTCCAGAGAGGAACCCCTTCCACCTCGGCCAGGGCCCACCCAGACCCCCTACCCACACCCACCCCCAGGGCGAGGTCCATTTCTCTTCCTCTTGCCTGGTCCCATTCCCAGGTCACTCACAGACACTGCTCTGCCCACATCTGTGTCATCTCCCAGGCCAGGCTAGGTTTACACATGGCAGAGACCACGTGCTGACCCCCCGGTGTGAGAAATGAATGGGAAGAAACACCAAAGCTACCATGTGGGCTGTGTGTGCCTAGCTTTCAGAAGCTCCCGCAGCCTTAGCCTAGGCCAGGCTGCCCAGTCCCTGGTGGTCAGACCTCTGTGGACACAGTCCCGGGGCAGGGAGCAGGAGGCGGGATGGAGGCTAGAGCTACAATTCACCCAGAGACAGTATAAAACTTTCTGGGTGCCACTGGCCCCAAACTCCACCCCAGGGCACATCAGCTGAATGATGTTCCCTGGTCTGGCATCTCAGTGTGTCACCTGAAGTATGGATGAGCAAGCCCCAGCCTTGGCATCTGTCCTTCTGTTCCATGCTCGTAGATCCTCACTCAGAGGACAAGAATCTGCCCAGTCACTAGGATCCCTGGACGCTAAGGAAGAGGCAGCCTTACAAAGGGGTGTTCTGTTTGCTCCATGCTCTCTAGAAGGAGAAGCTACAAGAGGGAGAAATGCTTAGAGCCCAGGAATTCTTCAAGACGATACAATCAAGGAGCCCTCAGCAACCCTGCATGGCATGCCTCTGTGAGGCAGAGTGGTCTCCCCAAAGGACAGTCACCTCCTCGGGAGACAGCATGGAGGAAACCCAAGTAGCACAGTCGTGGGCCATTGAGTCTCATATCCTGGGATTCCCACACTCGCTTGCATGGTGATAACAGTGTTGCTTCAAAAAACCAGGCTTCTCTAAAGAGCATGTCAAATATATATATATATATATGCAAGGAGAGATTTATTGTGGGAATCGGCTCCTGTGTTCAGGGCCTGGGAGGTCCCACGATCCACTGTCAGGCCAGGAGATTTGGAAGGCTGTGGAATGACTCCGTCTGGTTCGCAGGCATCTGGACTTGGACGAAATCAGAAGACAGATGTCCCTGCTTAAGAAGAGAAAGAATTTGCACTCCTCAAACCTTTCCATCCACCGGGGGCCCCCCAACAGGTTGGGTGGTACCCTCCTTGTGGCAGGGCAGCTCCTCCTTCCTCTGTCTGCTGACCAGCCTGCAAACCCAGAAGTAGCGCTGATCGGTCACTGGGCATACTCCACCTGGGTCAGCAACATAACATCAGCCGTGCAGACCAGTGTGGGGTGCAGGAGTTTGTTTAACACTGACCCACTAACTGTGGAGAGGGGCAGGAGAGGCAGCCTGGGGCTTCCTGGAGAACCAAAGCCTTTCTTCCCTGTCGCGAGCCTGTGACTGTTTCTGCAGCCTCTCTCCCGTGTGACATCTGTCGGTGGGTTCCATCACCTCACCAGCCACATCAGAGGTGTGGACGACAGGCCCGGGACTTGTTCCAGCCTCAGCTCTTCCCTCCTAGGACACAGACCTGTCACATTCGATGTGTGGCCACATTCCGTTCTAGTGACACACACTTGGAAGCACAGGTTCCATGCACAATAAAATGGAATCCCATCGCCACATCTGGAGCCCAGAGGAAAATTACCTTAATTAAACGCAGCAGGGCCAGGGTCGGCTGCCCACCACATGGAGCTGCTGCTGTCTGAGGAACAAACATGATGCCCGGGAAACCCGTGCCCACAGCTGGTGCTCCTCACTCTGCCCATCTGTGGTTCAAGGATGCGGAAGAAAGCCTCGCTCTAGCGTCCAGTGTGGCAAAGAGCGTTAAAGATCAATCCACAGCACAGGCCACACTGCTGACCAAAGAGTGAGCAACAGAGGCGTGTCACGGAGCCAGAGTCCTCAGAGCAGGGAGGCCAGCTCTGCCCTCTCCTTCCCTTCCCACCCTGTCACAAATGGCTTTCTTTGTTGTAAACAAGTGACCTTGCTTTGGAATCCGGGGGTTGTTTTGAGTTGCAGGTAGTAAAAGCCATTGACTGTGGGAAGGCGATTAGAGGAATAAAGAAATAGATCAACAGGACATAAAACCAAAGCCCTGAGAAGTGGAGTGTTTTCCCAGGGGCCGGGTCTAATCCGGAAAGGAGGAAACACACACGCAGGGCACGGCCGATTGTGCGGGAGAATTCAGAGGAGCAGGCTACAGCCCAGCCACCGGCCCCGGAATCCCCTGAGTGATTTGCCTTAAACACCAGGGGTCCCCACTGCCCTTGAACTAGATCGTCCTCCAGGGGCAGCAGACAGGGGACCTGGCTACACTTGCCTTCACCTCGAGCGTCCCTTGCCCCACTTGCTTTGTGTAAAACTGAGCAACCCCATGTCCCCCCCACCACCACTGTGGTGCCCAGCACCACTTTCTGTTTTGTCTTCAAGTTTCCAGAGCCCCCATTGATGCTCCCACTTGTCTACTAGACCTCTCCAGAGGGGGCCCCACAGGTACCCCAGATCCCACACAGCCCAGCTCAGCATCTTTCCCTTGGAGGCCACCTCCTCCTCTCTTCCCATCCTCATTCACTTCTCAGTGACCCCAAATGGAAATGCGGCCTGCCCATCCTGCTGGCCCAGGTTGCTGAGTCCAGAGCTGCCAAGTGTCCCATGTCCCCCAACACAACCGCCCTGTTATTTCCACGGCATCACACTGCATCAGGTGCTGTAACTACCTAGAGAGGATGAGAAGCAGGGAGGGTGTCAGCAGACTGCATGCAGGTACTGGGCCATCTATGACAGGGAGTGGGGCATCCACAGAGGAGTCCAACCATGCATGCACGGCGTGTGTCACCGTGTCCCCAGTGATGTGCACATCCCTGTACACATCTTTAGAACACTTACCACTGATCATGTTCGAGGCCAATAACATGCAGTGTAGGAGCTGTGGTGGATTTCTTACTGTCTCACCACTGTTTCGATTCATCCCATTGCTCTGTCTTATTCCCTTCAAAATTAAAGAGGAAAAAAGCTGAAGGGGTTAGTGGGGTCCAAAATGTACAATAGATATTGTGAAGGTGACGGTGGAGGAGATGTCTAGAAAGAAAAGAGTAGCCATTGTTAATTTCCTATTATCCTGTTTTGAAGTCCTGTGTGGTTTTTCATTGTTTTGTTGGGTTTGGTTTTATTCTGTTTTTGTTCTGTTAGAATCTATTATGTCTGATGGTACGGGCAGCTATTTTAAAAATAACAAGATATATTATGGTAGCTATTGTTGATCTCCTACTGTTTTGAAGTCCTGTCTCACTTTCATTGTTTTGTTTTGATTGGTTTTGTTCTGCTCTGTTTGGCTTGATTTTATTTTGCCTTATGGCATGGCAGCTATTTTGAAGATAAGCTGAAGCATTATGGTAGCCATTGTTGATTTTCCATCATCTTGTTCTGAAGTCCTGTACTGCTAGCATTGTTTCGTTTTGATTGGCTTTTGTCCATTTCGTTTTGTTTTCTTTCGTTTATAACAATTATTTTAAAAAATTGATCATGTTCAAAGCTGATGACAAACCTTACTATATTTTTTAAAACTGAAATCCTTCCTAATGCTCTGTCCAACCACAATGTAATCAAACCCAAAGTTCAGGACAAAAGAGCCAACATGGCTCAGTCTCTGGCCATTCAAGTAAACCTGGAACGGAGCGGAGCAAACAAGACAGAAAATGAACTGCAATTAGGGTGCCCCATACAGAAACCACTGGAATTTGTTTATGTTTTTAATTTTTATTTCAGTCCGTGTTTGCAGCTCGTGGTGGCTGTGTTACTGTGTGGAGTTAGTGTGCAAACAAAACGCATTTTAATTCCTTTTTCATCTCCTTCGCTCCCCTCCCTCTTCATCCCCTTCTCAGTGGCAAAAGATCTATTCCCATTTCCCGGTACATAAAAAAAAATTGTACAGCATTAATTGCTTTTTCAAAAGTAAGTAAAGAGGCAGAAATTAATCAAGCATTTGGCATAAGATAATAAAAGATAAACCAAAATAAATAGGAAAATATGTAAATCTAAAAAAGTTTTTTTTTAAATACAGAGGAAATTACTTACTGGAGAAGAAAAATAAACTGATAGTTATGAAAGAAAAAATAAAACAGACAAACATTTTAAGTTTAGCCAAGGAGAAAAGGAAAATTAAAGAGCAAGGGCAGTGATAATGGCACCAGGAGACGGCACCGGGATGGAACCAGGACCACGTTCCGTGTGCGGGACACGCGTGGGCAGCCCTGCAGAAGAACTGTGGACAAGGGAAGTGAGAGAATGGGCTGAGCTCAGGACCCGGCCCGGAACTCTTGGACAGCGCCCTGGACCTTCCGTCCTGCTGCCCCGTACTGTGTCCAGCCCCAGGAGGTCACCTCATCTTACTCAGAGAGGACCTGTCACCTCTTGTGTGGGAGGTGACACTGCAAAAGCACGGCAGAACACAGAGCAGGGTGCAGAGACTCTGTCCCAAGGAGACTCCCAGCCACTGCATGACCGCACTTGGTCCTTCCTGGAAAGTACGTGACTGTGACCGCGTTTGCACAGGCCCCTGTCTGTGCTCACTGCACTCCTCAAGGTCAGCAGCTCAAGGATGGACTCCCAGGGTCACATCTGATCCTGTTTCGCTCCTCACACTTACTGTTGAATTCAAGCAAGGATGCTGTGATCCTGAAGGATGATTTATATATGGCACTACCCCAAGACGGCCCCCTGGTACCCCAGAGTCCCCTGGCCACTGAGTGTTTCACCCCTCTGTGAGGCAGGGGTGAGATCACCTGCCTTCCACTGAGTCCAGGGGTTCCAGGAGCTTGTGCCAAGGATAACAAACATCTGTGATGGTTGGGATCTTTATAATTACCCTCTCTGCCCCACCTCAACCTCTGCGCCTGACACTTTCTTGGTTCCAGAATAAAATTTCTATCCCTCAAGACCCAACTTCTCTGTGAGGCACAGTGGCCCAGATGACCCAAGCCCTCGCAATCTTCCCTGCTGGAGCTGAGGGAGGCCTCCCTCCCACACCACACACCCTCCTTCCTGGTCACAGTCCTCCAGCCACAGGGCCCTGATATTTGTTCCTTGGATAATACAAGATGGTTTATGCCTCAGGACCTTTGCATGTTCAGACCTCTCTGACTGGTAGAGATCTTCCCCAGGCTAGACCTCGTCCTAAACCATCCCTTAGGATCATCCCATCTCTCCATGCCCTGAAAGAACTCCACTCATAATGCTAATTACTTGCATTCCCTTCTCATTCCTCCTCTTGATCTTGTCCATTTTTCCCACTTTGTTTTCTTCACATCACTCCCTGAAGTGGTTTCTCTCTCCCTCACTAGAATATAAGCTCAGTGACATGAGATCTTGGCCCAGGGCCTCAGTAAATATTTCTTAAGTTAGTACACATAGTGGGTGGATGAGAGGTGGGTGTATGGGTGGATGAGCAGGTGAATGAGTGTTATGGTTTGTGTTTAGATGTCCCCCAAAAGCCTCATGTAGTCTTTCAGTGGTGGCTGAATCTAGAGTGCGTGATTGATTTGTAGTGAAATGCTGGGATTAAGGGTGGGTGATTGCTGGGTGGATTCGATGATCAGATTGGCACTGTCCAAATCCCAGTAACTAGATACAATAGATACAATATAAAGGATGGAAAGAGGCTTGTCTCGAGTGTACTCTCTCCATGCTCTCTCTCTCTCTCTCTCTCACTCTCTCCCTCTCGCCCTCTCCCACAATCCCCTCTAGTTGCTTTCAGTGTCTTTTGCCACCATGAACCATTTCTCCTCTAGGATGCCCCTCTGCCAAGATGCAGTCAGTTATGGGCTGAACCCTCCATAAACTGTGAGCTAAATAAACTTTTCGTCTATTAAGGGACAACTTGGGTGTTGGGTATTTTGTCACAGCAATAAAAGAAAACTAACTAAGACAATGGGTGAATGGATGGATGGATGGATGGATGGTAGACTGACAGATGGGTAGGATGGTGGATGGGCCAGGGGTGGATGGGTGGGCGGGTAGATAGATCCATGAACTAAAAGATACTTCGGCTCCATCACCCGCAATGTGAACAACCCTGCTTAATCCTCTGTGCAATGCCATATGAGGTTGAAGGACAAGGATCATGTCCTCCTGGCCTCTGAGTCCCTGGAGCTTAAACCCCTGCCACCAGCCTCTCCTGGCTGTCTTTAGCTCTGTGGCCTCTGTGGCCCTGTTCTTTCCATGCAGTGAGTCTCAAGCTCACTTGTTTCACGTGGCCGTTCTCCCTTTTCCCCATGTTCCCGTGGAGGATTGGAGATGGCGGTAGTGCCCTCGACACAGCACCAGGAGGAGTGGGCCTGGTACCCTCCCCTTGAATCTGGGCTGGTCTCAGTGTTGTGCTTCACCACCGACTCTGGAGGAAGGGATGCTGTGACTTTTGAACCAGCCACAGGGACCCACAGCTTCTGTATGGTTCCCAGTGGCCACACTGTGAGCCATGTGAGCCATGTGGCCAAGTCCCAGCAGCACCTGCAGTCAGAGAGAGCCAACCTAGTTCCCACCCGGGACAGGCAGGGTCCCAGTCACTGGCAGAAACAACAAGAGACCTATTGCTGCTTAAATCACCATGGTTTGGGCCATTTGCCAGACAGCAATACCTTGCAGGACAGTGCTGTCCACACTGAAACTGAGACATAGCAAAGGAGAAGCCAAGGCACGTGGGTCAGAGAGAGACTTGGACCTGCGTCCCTTGGTCAGCTCTGCCACCAGTAGAATGGGCATGGGTAAGGCCTTGGCCACTTGGGCCTCCAAGGGTGGGATTTCAGTCTGAGCCACCAAAGCAGCTGTCAGTAAGTCTAAGTCTTCTTTCGTGGTAGACACACATTTTAATCATATTTTCAGCCAAATTTCCTTTATAACTTAATAATATTTAGCTCACAAGGCCTTGGG